GGGATTTAAATTTCTCTAGTGGCTGTCATGCCACCAGCCACTAGAGGCGCTATTTCAATATTAGAGATCGTCTGATTAGCACAGCATTGAGTTTTGACACGCATGCGTACTAGACCTACAATGCATTCCTATGGAACGCATTGAATTGGCTCAGATCACTGATCTCAAATACACATTTGTATTCTTAATGCAATAATTAATGTTATTTCAAATTATCAAGTGATTTGGAACCCTGACTTCCTCTAGCTGGACGAGTGACAGACTGTAATTTGGCAAAAACAGCCTCTATATTTAAGAAACTCATCATTCCTCGTTTAATACTTTTTAAAAGTTGTATTTATGGCACTTTAATGAAAACATTTTGCTGTCAACAAACGTGTTTGCTATAAGAATCACATTTTTAATAATCAAGTTTACCAAACTGTCTTTTGAAAATACGTAAACTACACAGACATAACAATTTAAGACGGAACAACTGATTCTTACTTTACATAATTGTTTAATGTTGCTATATTGTTTTACCGTAAAGTAAAATGAATCACTGATTGGCAGGTGCTGAATACGATAACAAATATAAAAATAAAACAACATTTAAACAGCCAGGCATAAAATATGGAAATTGCTGTTGATGTTTTCCCTACATATATTCAGGCCTGAAAGCGATCGCCATTTGGTTACCAAGCTTTGTAACATATGGCGGTCACAGATGGTGTTAACCATGAATCCAATGCTCACAGGTCTATGCCAGATATATGTCAAAATTGCCTAAGGGAATTGAATAAAACTGCTTTCCCCCCTGTTCCACTATACTGAGAAGCTGTCAGCATCAAGTGTGGGAGTGTGTCATTATCTCATGCCCTTTAGCCAGAGTATTTTAATGAAAAATAATTTTTGACAGTGTGTTGCGCGTGAGTGACAATCAAGGCAAATATTAGCAGTTAAAATTCCGTCCAATTTTCAATGCTGTCAAAGTTCTTGGCAATGGTATTTTGCAGCATAAAACAAAAAGTACATCGTAATTGTTGACATATTTCAATGAATGATAGTCAATGATAGAAAATAGCATGTTAATATTCTGATTCTTTTTGAACACAATCATGATATATCAAAGCTATTCTGCGTGCCCTGGACTACAGGATTCCATGTGAACCTGCAAGTTCAGAATCATTTAATTTTGGTAACTGGACACTTTGTTATGGCCAATTATCATTTATCTAATAAGTGAACAATTTAGGAGGTCAGAGGATACAAAAAAAAATATTGCTTCCTAAAATCTCTTTTTTTTTTTCTATAATTGTTTGTCTTTAAGGGGTGAGGGCCATTGGAGTTTAATGTGAAAGTGGGCCTCTACACTTTGATTATAATTTAATTTGTTGTGTGCCTTAAACATTATTTTTATAATGCATTATTAAAAAAAAAAAAAATGAGGTCAACTCCATTGTGGAATCATTACTTTTGAATATTCTGGCAAATATAGCACGCCTCACATTTAATTAAAAAAAATGAATTCAATCTAAAAATAATAATAATTCACTGTTTTATTTTAATGGGGTTTACTAGGCTCATAAATACTGGATATTTTACAAGTTATATTGAAAACAATATTTTTTCTTTCTTCCTGGGACATATTCACATTAATTATTCAGTCTTCTTTTTAGACACTTTCTTGCATAAGAGACTGCTAGCATTAGCAGACAATTAAAAAATAATAGCAAGTCTTAAAATAAAGATTCCACTGATGCTGAAATGTAAAAGAGGTACAAAGATGACCTTTTTTCAGGAAGTGTACAGGGAGGTTTTGTGAGTGACAGCCAGGGGAGGTGTGGCTAGGCTGCACAAACAGTGTGATTTAACTCCTTAACATTTAAGAATTGAGCAGTGAGACTGTATGTGCAGCATGATCTATACACCACAATCATTTCAGAAAGCCAAAGTTATTTTGGTGCTTAGACAGTCATTGTAACAGTTGAAATTACTGTAACCAGATGCATGTTGAGACCTGGAAGGGTCAACTAAGGGCTCATTTGTAATCTTGTTGCTACTTTTTACCAGCAAACTAATACTCACTAAAAATCCTGTTGTTGCTCTTAGCAGATGGACACCAGATTAAAAATTTTGCAAGCAGCTGCTAAAAGCCAGTCCCTAGGTCAGTGATGGTGAACCACAGGTGACACGCCGGGCCCTCTCTGTTGGCACACGGCCATAGGTAGCCGGGAGAGGGTGCCGCTGGCTATCTGCAGAGTAGGCACCTCTAGGAAGCAGCTCTCCTGTCCTCCCGCGCGATGCTGTGTGGAGCGTTGCCGCGCGTTACCATAGCAATGCTCCACACAGCATCGTGCGGGAGGACAGGGGAGCTGATTCCTAGCTGCCAGAAACATACTTACCACCACCGGACCACCAGGGATGGCTGTGTCCCCTCCCCCCCCCTTCACCAAAGGTAACAGGAAGGGAGGGGGAGGATACAGAATTAATATATCTTTTTTTTTTAAATGTATTTTTACCCCTACACCCCCAGCACAGCCCCCCCACCCCCCACACACAGAACCCCTATCCCCACAGCACAGCACCCCTACCCCCCACACAGCACAGCACCCCTACCACCCACAGCACCCCTAACCCCACATACAGCATCCCTACCCCCACATACAGCACAGCACTCCTACCCCCCACACATCACAGAACCCCTACCACCCACAGCACCCCTCCCCCACAGTACCCCTCCCCCCACATACAGCACTCCTAGCCCAACATACAGCACAGCACCCCTATCCCCCACACAGCACAGCACCCCTACCACCTACAGCACCCATCCCCCACAGCACCCTGCCCCCACATACAGCACTCCTACCCCCTCATACAGTACAGAGGTAGGGACCCCACACACAGCACTCCTACCCCCACACATACAGCACTCCTACCCCCACATACAGTACAGGGGTAGGGACCCCCCACACAGCACCCCTACCCCCACATACAGCACAGCACCCCTACCCCCACACAGCACAGCACCTCTACCCCCACACACAGCACAGCACCCCTACCCCCACACACAGCACAGCACCTCTACCCCCACACAGCACACAGCACCCCTACCCCCACACATACAGCACCCCACCCCCACACAGCACAGCCCCCATGCCCCCACACAGCACAGCACAGCACCCTACCCCCACACACTGCACCCTTCCCCACAGCACACACCCCTACTCCCCACAGCACAGCACCCCTACCCCCCACAGCACTTACAGCACCCTTACCCCATAGCACCCCCTACCCCCACACAGCACAGCCCCCATGCCCCCCACACAGCACAGCACAGCACCCCTACCCCCCACACACTGCACCCTTTTCCCCCACAGCACAACACCCCTACTCCCCACAGCACAGCACCCCTACCCCCACAGCACATCTACCCCCACAGCACCCTTACCCCATAGCACTCATACCCTCACACAGCACCCCTACCCTCACACAGCACCCCTAACCCCTATAGCACCCCTACCTCCCACACAGCACCCCTTCCCCCCACACACAGCACCCCTACCCCGCACACACACAGCACCCCCACACACACAGCACCCCTCACACACAACACCCCTCAGACACACACAAAGCATTCCACACCCTTACACACAAACACATACACTGCACTTCTCAATGCAGTATGTGTGTGTGTATTCAGCAGTTTGTATGTGTGTGTATTCAGCAGTATGTGTGTGTGTGTGTGTATGTATTCAGCAGACTGTGTGTGTGTATGTATTCAGCAGACTGTGTGTACTCAGCAGTGTGTGTATTCAGCAGACTGTGTGTATGTACTCAGCAGTCTTTGTGGGTGTATTCAGCAGTCTGTGTGTGTGTATTCAGCAGTGTATGTATTCAGCAGTCTGTGTGTACTCAGCAGTCTGTGTGTGTGTATTCAGCAGTCTGTCTGTGTGTGTATTTAGCAGTGTATGTATTCAGCAGTCTGTGTGTGTGTATGTATTCAGCAGTCTGTGTGTGTATTCAGCAGTCTGTGTGTGCTCAGCAGTCTGTGTGTGTATTCAGCAGTCTGTCTGTGTGTGTATTAAGCAGAGTATGTATTCAGCAGTCTGTGTGTACTCAGCAGTCTGTCTGTGTGTGTATTCAGCAG